CCAATGCAAAAAAAAAAAAAACTGCCTGAAAAAAGGAATGTCTAAAACTGTTGTAAAATGAGTGAATTTCCTTTATTAAATATAATAATTAATTATTCAATTTAAAAATATATATTTACAACACTGTCCAAATGACACAAAGTGGCTTAATTTCTGTGGAAAATGTAATAAAATGTGGTGGAAATCAGAGCTCACCGGCGTACTCGGGGTCCACGTGAGGAGGGTAGAAGCGGAAGTTGATGAAGAAGGGGATGGGCACTCCAAACTTGAACCACTCCACCACGTAGGGCTGGCCGTTGAGTAGGTGAGCCATGTCACATCCCAGAATCACGGTCTCCCCTGCGCGGGCCGTCACAAACTGGGGCTCCTCTCTGACTCCGTGGGCACCTGTGAGAACATATGGACTTTGATGAAGATAGGATTGTACCAAACACTCTGAAACTGCTTTGGGAAGCAATGATTCATCTAACAGCTGAAAACAGACTTTGGTTAGTAGATCAAGTAAGCCTGTAGACTAAAGCATTGATTGAAGTTCAATTCTGCATAAATTAACCATATCCGGATATCCTGAAACTATTTTACTAATCAATATACACACATTCATTCTCTATTCACTACGATGCCAACTATAATGATTTTTTTGTCCCCTATTTATATCTAGAAGTAATTTATTTTTATTTTTTTTTTAAATAATGTAAAACATAAAACAAGAAATATTTAGATCCTGCATTACTTCTAGGTCACTAATCAAATAATCATATTTGTGACATTAATCATATGTACAGATTCTTACAGATGGTCAGTTGTTGATATTGTTGAAGCATAAAATGCTCTTCGGATTATACTCAAATCATGCTGGATAACATAATCATTAGGCTTAAAATTAAAATTAAAATGTACAACAATTAATTAAAATGTACTTAATATTGGCAGGTCATGAAAGGTTTGTTTTGCGGGTTTGTCATCTCGCTAGAGTGCAGTCAAGTATTGTTTCCACGCAACAACAAACACAGCACGAGCTGCAATGTCCGATTCAAATGAACTGGTTCTTTTTAATGAGCCAGTCAAAAAGATTCACATAACAGTCTCAAAACATGCGAGTTAGCAGTGAGTTAGCGGTCTGAATCAGATTCACTCAGCCAGTGAATCATTCAGAGCCATTACTGAGTTCACAACTGATTCCATCACTGAACTGAAGTCATTACAGTTATGTCAGATTAAAAAAAAATTATATGAACATGTTGTTCATATGAATCATGTAATTAAAGGTTCCCACCTTCAAATTCAAATTCACACACAGTTTGGTTAAAATGAATAATATTACAAAAAAAATCAAATTTTTAAAAATGATTCTAAACAATAATCTCTATTGAGAAAATGTGTACATTAAAACAATTAATTAATTCAACTCTTAAATGTTCCATTTTCCTTTACCAAGTAAATGCAATCAGAAGCATTTTCACCAGTGGTCTCAGATTTTTGGACCCCACTATATGTCTCACACACCTGAAAAGCAACCACACTAAGACTGATCTAAATGAATGAGTTTTATTAAAATCACAATTTCCTAGAAAGCTATATAAGCAATAACACAGTATCAAACAGACTTCAAACTGCTGAAACTGCTATCAACCTTTCAACCTTTGCTACAGTAACCGTGACATCAAAGCTTATCTTGCACACAGCAAATAAATAGGTAATCAAAACTGATTCATCAAATATAATATTTGCATTAGATGGGATACAAATCCAAGTCTTCCTTTCCGCAGGAGCAAAACTGACCTTGGCTTAAGGTCACTGGCCGATGAAAAACTGGTATAATCAGCGTATGTAAGAGAGTATGATAGCTTCCTTAAGAGGTGCATGACAGATAAAACAGTCTGGCTTAATCCAAGCCTAGGTGGACAAAAATTGATTTATTCAGTATGTAATTTCCTTTGTGAGGCACATCACATACAACAATCTGGGGAATCAAATGACTGACTCATAACTGTGATTAGATATTCTCAGCTGCTGCTTTTCCCCTCTCTCTCTCTCTCTCTCTCTCTCTCTCTCACTCTCTCCATCCCTATAATGATGTGATGATGAGAGCCGGAGAGCTGCCAGCGCGTCCCCGTGCATATACCCAAGACCTCGCTGCACCCACTACCTACTGCAGCAGCGCCTGCTGATTGGCTGCTGGTGACATCACCGGTGAGCAAAACAAGCCTTGGAAGGTATGAATTCACAGTTTGCACGACTAAGAGCAACAAGCGGTTAACAAGCTGCTCTCTCTCCTCTCCCCTCCAGATTTACTCCCGTTTACAATGAAAGACACAAGGGGTCAAACCACTTGAGCCCTGAGAGAAAAAGGATGTCAATTTACAACAGAGTGAACTCGAGCATTCTGTGCACTAAAAATCCAAGTAATCCATGTTTTTTCATAAGATTTGTTTTTGGTAGAAGACAGTAGCATGTGCCCCTTTTAAACAAACAAACAATAAACAAATGGTAATTAAGTTGCCCAATTATTATTTACATTTGCATTTATATTTATTCATTAGCAGCTACTTATTCAGATCACTATTTCTGATATCAGTGTGTAGTTATTAATATTATTAGTAGTAGTAGTAGTAAGTGAAGGGAAAATCGGATCATTTTACTGATGCTCTTGCTTGATCTCGTGCATCAAAATGAACTAATCTTCAAAAGCCATTTTGTTAATTTGATGGTTGTTATATTTTGTTATATTTTCAACTGCTGAATTCCCTATATAAATGAATAAACAAATAAATATAATATACCTGTAACATAACAATTAAGTTGCCCAATTATTATTTACATTTGCATTTATATTTATTCATTAGCAGCTACTTATTCAGATCACTATTTCTGATATCAATGTGTAGTTATTAATATTATTAGTAGTAGTAGTAGTAAGTGAAGGGAAAATCGGATCATTTTACTGATGCTCTTGCTTGATCTCGTGCATCAAAATGAACTAATCTTCAAAAGCCATTTTGTTAATTTGATGGTTGTTATATTTTGTTATATTTTCAACTGCTGAATTCCCTATATAAATGAATAAACAAATAAATATAATATACCTGTAACATAACATAACATA